CCMCCCCYMMCMCCMCAAATAAAGAAGCTGAGACTGATAATAATCCTTTTCATAACTCTAAAACCCAAGAAGATCAAAAGTATGAGATGAATTTTTTGATTTTGAAATGATAAAAAAAAATCAATGGAACGTAAGGTGCAAGTATTGTAAAACTCCCATTTCTCTTTTGGTGAACTTGTAAGCCAATACAACATGAATCATCGGAAGTTAGTTCTTGAATGCAAGACACGTTGAAATTCAACATACGATATGCTAGATTGTGCCATCAAGTTTAGACAGGTATTTCCTCGATATTCTTTGCATTATCGTAATTATACTTCTTGTCCTACTGAAGAGGAATGGAGTAAGATTGCAAAATTGCTTGATATATTGAAAGTATTTTGGGTTTCTTTCTCGTCGGCTTCTTTCAAATATTAGTTTAGCTTCCTATTGTCTATATAATATATACATAAGGATTAACAGGTATGACAACCGACAACCGACAATCGTAACTTAAAACCTATCAGATTCAAATACAACTTATGGAGGACCATTACAACTCATCAATACTCGTTAACTAGAATCCATTACAAGCCATCAACATGTTAAAAAAGTAAAAGCAAAATGTCGGCGGTAATATTAATATTAAAGTTGCCATTCTTCCCTCCTAGCTAGCTAGTGATTTGTTGAAAGTTATAGACGTTTTTAATTTCAAATTCTTGGTACATGTAAATTAAACATCTAATAAAATAAGACATCTCTAAAAAAAAGACGTTGAAGTGGAAAGTAAGTGATATAAAACTCAAATAGGATTTGATGATCCAATCCTCCAAGAATTACAAACATAGGCGTAGGCGAAACTAATTTTGGTTGGTGGCCCAAAATTTCAAATTTCTAAACCTAAGAATTGAATGAGATCTCTTATCTTAAATAACCGATTCTTTTTCACGAGATCTACTTGATAAAAAAAATAAAATGAAAAACCGAAAATAACATCAAAAAGCTTTGGAGGACCTATCCTAGATGAAGAAATTTGGGGCTGGAAAATGGACCAAGCGCTTTTGATAATGTTTGGAGTTTTCTGTGCATATGGAAAACGACACTCGCATTCGGTTTAGAGAGCACTTTTTTCGTTGAGAATTACTCGTTGTCTCGGAATAGTGAAGAACAATTTGTGTTCAACTTCAAAATACCAAAAGGAGGAGGAGCCCATGTTGACGGCCTTGTAATTCCATGTAGATTGAAAGTTATGGTCTTTTTTGTTGAGCTTCTTTTCTAACATGTTTGTTTTTATTAATTCTATTGATTAATAAACGAGTGTGCCAATTCTTGAATTTGATTCATATCAAATGCAGCCAAAAACATTATATGCATGCCCTTGGTAGTATTTTTATCTCGTTCTTGCTTGCATATAGACAAACACAAGTTCAGATTATACTTTTTTTTTTCTAAATCAATCTCTCTCTCTCTCACACTTTATATATATATATATATATATATATATATAATATTTTAATACTCACATATAGGTGAGTATTAAAATATCATGTATCTTTTCTAGACAAATGGGTAAAATAGTCATTTATGTCATACCAACTATTTATTTAGCACAACAAATTAAGAAAAAAAAAACGATTTGAACTTATAATTCTTACGTAACAAATGTAAAAACAATCAAACTTGAAAAATAAAAATTAATACGCCAAGATTTGGCTGCATTAATTAACACTTGAACAACAAAGTATTTTATTAAAATGAATAAAAATCCAGAGAAACAGAAGCAACAAAATTAAAGAGATGCATGGAAATTAAGATGTCTTAATTAATTAAGTGCATGGGATCAGTGTTGCTTAGTAGGATAAGAAGCCATCTTATAAAGACCACACATCCCTTCAGATTTACCGGTCTTCCTCTTCATCCTGATGTAACCTTTCTCTCCCCATTTGGGTCCCCAAGAATTCCTCACAGTGATATATTCGACTCCCTTGCTTGTTCCATATCCAACTGCTGCAACTCCATGATCCAAATCACTTCCACAATGTCCATCAAACACACCCTATATATATATATATATATAATTCATTCATTTGTTATAACATGTAAGTAAATTCCCATATCATATATATATATATATATATATATATGGCTGAGAGATAATACTGTATTATGAAATTATTAAGACTTACTCCGCTGTAAAATTGGAAGTCACGACCTGAAGCATCGATTGCGACGCTAATAGGTTGGTTCGCAAGTGCTTTCAAGAAGCTATCTTCATTGTTCTGAGGTACATCGTGATACCCACTTATGGTCACTGTTTCTGATATATCCTGAACAAAGTGAAAACAAGACTCGCTATAATATAAACAAATTAAGATCGATGGTCCATCATTAATTTGTGATTAAAGACTAATATTTACTTGATTTTATGTGTATGTGATAAACTTGTGTTAGATAATTCCAATCATAACGCGTGCGTGCTTTTTAAATTAAGATGAAAGTTCAATTTTATTTGTTAAGTTGACCTTCTTTTCATCGCAAGTGCCTTCACTCATGATATACGGGTATTCTTCTTCCTTATGAAGCCCACCGTTTCTGACTATGAACGAGAATGCATAGTCCATCAGACCTCCATTGCAACCATTATTAAAGCTCGTGTCACAATCGATTAACTCCTGCTCCGACAACGCTGTTAGATTTCCCGTCACAATTTGGTTTATACCCTCCACTGCAGCCACTGTTGAAAATGCCCAACAACTACCTGTGTATATATACACGCATTCATCCACCGTACGTAACAAGAAGACATGAGAAAACATAATTAATTAAAAGCATTATATGATTGGTTGTACTCACCGCAGGAACCCTGGTTCTTGACGGGTGCAACGGCTCCTTTCTTTCTCCAATCCACAGACTTGGGCAGATCCACGAAATCTCGATAAGTGAATTCTTCAGAAGACGGTTCTCTCCTCTCTGGCAAGTCACCCTTGAGCCCCAAGAACATGCTCTTGAACTCCTCATGGCTCAAGTCAGCAAACTCATTAAGCCCAAGCCAATAACTGCTGACTTTCTTATTCGTCTCGTCAATGTGCTTCAAATTGTCCTTAAAGATCTCAAACCTATGTAGCTTTTCTTCCAAACTCTCATACAACTTTCCGTGTTTCAAAAGCCAGGATTCAAAGAGGTTGATGACCTTATCGATGCATGTCAGATCCTCAGGTGCGTACCCGACGATTGAGAATTGACGGGCAAAAGCAGAAGCAGCAAAAAGAGCGAGGAAAAACAAGAAAAGGGATGATGGTTGGGAAGAAGAGAAAAGTGCCATACTGGATGAAATGAAAGAGATGGAATGAAGAAGATGAAGGATGCAATTGCAAATGGGGTTTAAATAAGGTGTTTTTGGGATATGTTGCTTTCAAGTTAAGTTAAGTTGTATCCATATATCTAACTAAGTCTTAAAGTTTGCTTCTTTTTTGCCAATCTTTAGATCCAAGGATGTTCCTGTCCCCTAGGATTTATATATTTAAGCATGGAGCAGGTGAAAAGTATTAAGCCTATTTTTAGGATGTATTTTGTGTATAATTTGTATTATAGTAAGTCAATAAGTGTAGGCTTATGTTTAGGCGTAATTGATGCTTATGCTTGTATATATATTTGATATATCTCTCAATAAAAATAAAGAAAGGAAAATTGATTCCTTACATGGTATCAGAGCCACATAAACCCTGATTTTTTTTTCAACTGTGCCAATTTCTTGCTTTGCTCCACATCTATATTATCAATGGCGGAGGACGGGAAGATCGATCCAACATCGCCGTTCTATCTTGGTTCTGGCGATCAACCCGGAAATCTGATTACCCACGTAATCTTGAAGGGCGATAACTACTTGGCTTGGGCCAGGGCAATTACTTTGTCTCTTAAGGCTCGTCGGAAATTCGTCTTTGTTGACGGTACCATCAGCAAACCGTCCGACAAGAAGAATTTGATTAATTGGGAGACARTTAATTCTATGCTTGTGTCATGGATGTTACGGAGCATGGAACCGAAAGTTGCGGCTTCAATTCCCTTTCATGATGAGGCAAAACGACTTTGGGATTACCTGGAGAAACGTTTTTGCGTGGCTAATGGCCCTCGTTTACAACAATTACGGGCAGATATCATCGAATGTAAGCAAACTAAATCTATGTCTATTGAAGATTACTATAATCGTTTAATGGGTTTGTATGATGATCTTACTCGGCTTAAGCCGTTACATGCTTGCGAGTGTGGCAAGTGTACCTGTGATGTGGTAGGAAAATTCATCAGTGATAGAGAGGAAGAAAAATTGCATCAGTTTTTGATTGGTGTTGATGATGACTCATATGCCATGGTTCGGACCAATTTGCTCTCTCAACACCCACCACCGGATCTAGATCGAGCATATCAGGCGTTCCTACAGGAAGAGAGATCCCGCGGTATTGCACGGGGTAAAGCAGTGAGAGAAGAAGCAAATGTTTTTGCTATACAGACTGATCGCTGGAAAGGAAAGTTTGAGCGACAAGATAAGTCTAAACTCCTTTGTTCTCACTGTAAAAAATCTGGGCATGATGATGCTACGTGTTTTAAGCTTCATGGGTATCCAGATTGGTGGGAAGACCGAACTCGAGGCGGTAAAGGGCCCGGTAATAACCATACCTCTGCCACCGGGACGGTTTTTTCTAAACATGGAAAAGCTGGAGGACTACGTGTTAATGCAGTGACTAGTCACAACGGCGGAACAAGCAATACCGGGGCAATAAGTCTTGGACCTGAAGGAGCTTCCTTGGCCCATTTGACACCTGAGCAAGTTCAAATCCTTTTAAATTTGGTAAATAATCATCAACAGGACCAAACGATGGGTGAGTGTTATTCTTTATCTTGGATTATTGATACTGGTGCTTCTCATCATGTTACCGGCAACGCATCCTGTTTGACTCATTCAAAAGACATTTTAGCATGTCATGTTGGTTTGCCTAACGGAGAACAGGTCATGGCTACCAAAGAAGGTTGCGTGAAACTTTCTGAAGGAATAACACTCGAACACGTGCTATTCGTACCTACATTRCATTGCAATTTGATCTCGGTGACAAAATTGATCGATGACTCTAAATGTTTTGTCATGTTCACTGACTCATTATGTGCTATACAGGACCAACGTTCGGGGAGCCTGATTGGAGCCGGTGAACGAAAGGATGGACTCTATTACTATTGCGGGGTTCCTTCGGTATGCATGACGAAAGTTTTAGAGATCAGCGAATTTGAGTTGTGGCATAGACGCATGGGGCATCCGTCGGATAGAGTCGTCAAGTTAGTTCCTGCTATTCGTTCTAGTACCTCTAAAAAGTCGTTGAATGAAGCTTGTGATGTTTGCCCTCAAGCAAAACAAACACGAGAAAGTTTTCCTAATAGTAATAGTAAAGCAAGTCGGATTTTTGAATTAATTCATTGTGATTTATGGGGGCCATATAAGACACCTTCATCGGGTGGTGCACATTATTTTTTGACTTTGGTTGATGACTTTTCAAGGGCTGTTTGGGTATATTTGCTGCATTCTAAAACAGAAGTTTATAAAGCCTTTTGTTCTTTTTTTGCTATGATTACCCAACAATTTGAGGTGCAAGTTAAAATTGTGAGAAGTGATAATGGAAGCGAATTTACCTGTATGTTGCAATATTTTGCTGAACATGGAATCGTCTTCCAAACTTCTTGCGTTGGTACCCCACAACAAAATGGCCGGGTAGAGCGCAAACATCAACATATTTTGAATGTAGGGCGTGCTTTAATGTTTCAAGGTAACCTTCCAATTTCTTTTTGGGGTGAATGTGTGGTTAGTGCAGTTTACTTAATTAATCGTACCCCCTCTCGGTTATTGGAAAATAAAACTCCATATGAAATCCTTTTCGGAAAAGAACCAAGTCTCTCTGAATTGAGAGTGTTTGGATCCCTTTGTTATGCTCATAATCAAAAGTCTAAAGCAGACAAGTTTGCACCTAGAAGTAGGAAGTGTGTGTTCATTGGCTATCCTCATGGTAAAAAGGGCTGGAAACTATATGACCTTGAAACGGGTGAAACTTTCGTATCACGAGATGTAAAATTTCATGAGAATGAGTTTCCGTTTGCAAATACACAACAAAGCYTTGGTGTAAATACAAGAGATTCAGAGCCTAGTGACGAAGGGAGGATGAATGCTGAATTTTTGGATGATTTGGAGAATGACGATGGTGGGTACCTTGACACTACGCAGGACACAGAAACAGCCCCCCAACCTACTGCAGAAGCTGTCGGTGAGGTCGTTGAACAACCTGTTGTTTCTACTAATGAGACCACCGAATCAGTCTTAGGGCATGGTCAAAGAAGTCGGCGTGCTCCAGCCTGGCATCGCGAATACGTCATGCATACCGTACACAAATCGAGTCCATCTAAACGTTCATCGACTTCTTCGAGCTCCTCAGGTACTCCGTATCCATTAGTACATTTCGTGAATTGTGATAAATTCTCTTTGCGCCACCGTATATTCCTTGCAGCTGTCAATGAAGGGTTTGAGCCGCGTACCTTTCACGAGGCTATGAAACATTCCGGTTGGAGAGAAGCAATGCAGAAAGAAATAGAGGCTTTGGAAGGTAATGGAACATGGGAAATGGAAGAATTACCTGCTGGGAAGAAGGCCCTAGGTTGCAAATGGGTTTATAAAATAAAATATCATGCTGATGGGACCATTGAGCGTCTYAAAGCTCGTCTTGTAATTTTTGGCAATCATCAAGTAGAGGGTGTTGACTACAATGAAACGTTCGCTCCTGTTGCGAAAATGGTCACTGTACGCGTTTTTTTATCAGTTGCAGCTGCGAAAAATTGGGAATTGCATCAAATGGACGTTCATAATGCTTTCCTTCACGGTGATCTCGATGAAGAAGTATATATGAAAGTTCCACCCGGCTTCGATGTTGAAAAAACAGGTATGGTATGTCGGCTTAAAAAGTCTTTGTATGGCTTGCGACAGGCCCCGAGATGTTGGTTTGCTAAGTTGGCTGCTTCATTAAAAAGGTATGGCTTCACTCAGTCGTACTCAGATTATTCACTCTTCGTTTTGCATCAAGGAAAAATTCAACTTAATGTACTCATTTATGTTGATGATTTGATTATTTCGGGGAACGACTCTTCTGCTATTACTGCTTTTAAGTCGTATTTGAATGACTGCTTCCACATGAAAGATTTGGGGATTTTGAAATATTTTCTGGGTATTGAAGTTGCTCGGAGTCCAGAAGGGATATTCTTATGTCAAAGAAAGTACACACTTGACATTATTGCAGAGGCTGGTTTGTTAGGAGCGAAACCTGCTGGTTTTCCGATCGAGCAAAACCACCATTTGGCTGTCGCCAAAGGCTCTTTCCTTGAGGATCCAGAGAAGTACCGGCGACTAGTGGGTCGTCTAA